AAATATATAATATACCAGATTAGTCCCCCGTCAACCGCCGGGACCTTCCTTTCCTGCGCAAGCTTTCTATCCTCCGCTATGGTCCCTTCCTCCTGTGACACCAACACCTCCTGGAAGTGACGCGTATGCAACACAATGGTGTTTCATACAGTAGAAGGGACACAATCATGATATGACGGTAGATTTTTCGCTTCCCTTCCTCATCCTCCCTTCCTCTCTCCACTGCCCTCCAGCTGCCACTGCAGCACCATGTGGAATGAACGGAAGTGTGCTAAGCAGGTGTTTATATAGCCCTAAGAGTGTTATCACAACTATCCTGCTACAAAACATTGATATCTCAAATCCTGTAAGCTACCCGATTTGTTAGCGGTTTGTTTATCTCTTAGCCTTTTGTTTATCTATGAGCTTCCTTCTCACTCACTTCATTTTGCGGACGGACACACACATACATACATACATACATACATACATACATACATACATACATACATACATACATACATACATACATACATACATACATACATACATACATACATACATACATACATACATACATACATACATACATACATACATACTAAAATAGCCATTATACCAAAAATATACGAAAATTGCTGCAGTTAGCTTAGTTGTTAAACATCTCCCGATAAATGACAGACACCAGTGATTGTTCTCCTAGACAAGTGGAAAGAAAGTTCATCGAAGTAATCACGAAACAAGGGAACTACATAGAGGACGTACCAATAAAGCTTGTAGGTTCCACGATAATTATAGGGTTGGCCCATATTTTCTGGCCGATTTTTGTTCCAATTCAAATTTCTTCGGGTAAAATTAGCTTCATAATGAAATAAGTTGATATATGAAGAACACACAGGACCTTTTCAGCCAAGATGATTTTCGGAAGCTCAAATGAGCCACGAAATAATTAGCTAGGAATTGAAATAGGTCAATGACAAAAACTCAACAAATGGTGACTGATGCTGAAGCTTAACACGTTGACGACAATGCGCGTTTTGGCTTTTTTGGCCGCGTGGGACCGGCGCGATTTTGCGAGCGCGGATGCGTCAGGTAATTCAAGCGGATTTTGAGTGCTAAATACATAAAACATGGGTGATACAAAATTGAAACAGTGATATCAAGTGAACATAAGCTTGGAAGGGTGATATAGTAATGGAATTTCGATACGAAGACTTGAACTAACAATGAGAATGCAAAAATTGTCAGAATTAGCTGCAATTGACCTCAAAAGCTGTTTCACTTCAATCATTTTAACAAAAACACAAATGTCATCATCTCTTAGGTCACCTATTTACTCCTACTACTCTTTTAACCTTCACATTCATGAAGGGAAAATGGAAACGAAAAATTAATCAGACATAAAATTTCGTGCAGTTCTAAAAGCCTACTCCTAAATTAAAATATACGTTACCATTTCACGAGCTACTATGTTTGTGGCTATGCTAGGGCTTATTCCATGGAGTAAACACAATAAACTTAGAAAAGAATCACGCGTGCGCTGAAAAAAGGAACGTAATGGGTGCAGGACACATACGTCCCGCGCTGTCCGTCATGGCCTGCAAAGTGCGGGACGTATGTGTCCTGCGCTGTCGTCAACGTGTTAAAGAAGAGCTGTATGCCCAGAAAAGCGTAGGCAACATCAGTGCTAATGTTCAGCCTAGTCTTTACACTTTTTTGCGATCGGGGTACTTAGCTACATATTGGCTCAAGCGCAATCGGCAAGACATGGAGCTGCAAAGTTCGACCTTGGACTCCACACTTGTCCGATGCGCGATGGTAAATTGCCTGCGCTGTGACACCAGTGTGCTGTGGTTTAACTTTTAGATGGAGCTCTTTCCGCACCGATTAGGAAATGCATTCCGACGCTATTAGTCAGGAAAGTGAGCAAACTCTAGATGGCAGCGAATACTGCTCCATGATGTCCACCTTGAATGAATACGTTACGATAGAAATAAGCATCATCAAACATAACAGAAGCCGACGTGACACGTGCAGAAATTTCATCCTGCGACCGTATAGACAGGATATTTCCTAGTTGATCACCAGTGCAGAGGAGTCAAGAGTCCACCATGATAACAGCACAAGCCTGGTGGCTACCTTGAAGCCTGGATCCACCATCCCTATCAAACCCGAGCTCTTTCAACAGATGATATCATCCGTGCTTGTTGGATTCGCTGGGCATCTCGTTTTGAGAACCGCTTCACGTTATGCAGACAAGCATAAGCAGAGGTTAAGCATTGGATAACTCCCCAATGCCGTCGCAAGTGCGGGGAAGAACTCCTCAAATCTCCCTCCTCCAAAGAACGCCCGGCCTCTCTTGCAAGGATACTTCGGCACATGTTTTTGAGGGAACTAGCTGAACCACTAATACCGCATCTGACGTACCCTGACCATTTGCTAAATCTAGCTGTCTCCTCCTAAAAAATAATTCGAAACCAATTACTTGGTCCGCCCCGAATAACTCTACCTAAACTCGCTTTCTGCTTCATGAGAATAATTGAATGCTCGGTGCTAGCACGTTTACCTATCAGGTGATTGATGCTGAAAACATAAAGTAGCGCAAAGTTTCGAGAAGAAACCTGAAGCATGAAAGACCTTGTATAGTGGGATCGTGTGCCTTTTCTTCCCTTACGTTACTCCGAGTGGCTGCGATCTTCTGATACAGTAAAGCTAGCGCGAGCAGGGAAAACGTGCATACGCCGTGCTCTGCCTAGACTCTTGTACTTACTAAGAGTTTATCCTAATGTCATCAAAGAACAATAGAAATATTGATCATGAGCAACGAATAAACCGAGACAGAACCAAGAATATCCGAACAAAGCAATAGAAAGGCACAAGAAAACCAATAAAGCACGACTGTATCACGAGCTGGTCTAGGTAGGCTAGGGCATCGCCCCGACGATGAGAAGCTGGACACGAGCGTCCTCGGTCCGCAGATACGGTTGACTCCTCGAATCTGCTCCTTCGTCGGCATCGCCACATTCCTGAAGCATAGGAATTGAGTCACAGCCAACCACAATGCATGAACCACACCGCCCACCCCCGCTCACTGCTGGCCGCGGCCTTCTCTTCATTTGAATGGCGCAACCTACCTTGAGCCAAGTCTCTGCCCCATCTCATGTCATGTCCGGATTTTAATACTGAACCTATGAAATAGCGCGCTTTCTTTCAAAATGGTGGCTGAGAGAAGTATTGACGGACTGTATTTCACTGATATTTTCTTTTTCATGGGTTCCCACGATCAAATAAAATGAGTTGTATAGCTTGCGTACGGTTTGAGACGATTACAGGGCATTTTCAGTGTGACTTTGCCTCACGACGAATACATACATCACACCTGAGCAAGGAGAAAAAACCAGAACAAGAAAGCTGCTCTGATTTGTTTGCTTTCCACCATTATCATATCAAAACAGGAACAGATCAGGTCGAGATAGTACTCACCTGAACAATCGATCGTAGAAACCAGTCCGCGCGAATGCGGATGGCTCACCTTTGGAGCGAGCTATTCGGTCATCATATTCGTCTGAATTTTTTGAACGTTTAGTCTGGGAAGGATTTCATCAGGTCAAAATTTCACCAGCTGGCAATTCAAGCGAGCAGTGATAACGATAAATTATAACAAAAGACCTTGTTCAGCGCTTTCGAGGCATGGGTAGTGCACCTTGAAGTTGATTCGCGTTGGCAGACATGGCGGCCCGAAGTTGTAAGCTAAAGTTACGACGAAGAAGGAGACAAATAATACTGAATGGGCAAGCATTTCTTGCTGGGGAAATGGAAAGAGAATGGAACGGGATCAAAGAGCGACGAAACCGCGAAAGATTGTGTGCGACCTGATGTCCACGGCGAAAACTTGAATTCGTATGGAAGGAAGGGGCTTCCTGTTAAGCATAGGTGGCCTCTTCTAACCATGAGAAAGGTCACACTAGACTGGAAACACGTAAACACGTTGTTATTCCAGATAGGTAAAAAGTAGGATCTAGAAAACATGAGCGATTTTAACGCGCCGGTCAAAATGCTTCAGATGATCACGAATAAAAAAATAGAGGAGGCAAAACCAGCGTGCTCCAATTACGGTCCAGTCATACCTGCGAGGGAGAGTAGGATGTCGAATGAGGAGGATGCGCAAAATCAATCAAATGCAGCGTGAATCTTGGAATTCGGACCACCAACTTACCAGGGAATGCTTTGAACTTCCCATGGAACTTTGGAAGGAGACCTAGATGTATCGATAGAGTCTTGAACGCTGATTACAAATATGGACACTAAAACTGCTACGTGAACTTCCTAAGAAAGTTATGAGCCTTCAAAGTTGGCAAAAAACGTTACTGAGGCGAGCTTACCTGGTGGAATCACAGTCGCCGTGGCTCTGCGCCAAAAACGAGTCTCATATTCGTAATCAGGGCACCCATTTACCCTTATAGAACAAGTTCCAGGCAAAAAGCAACCGTGTTTCCACATAGGTTGCACCTCATCATTAGCGTTCTTTTGCAACTTTTAAGGCTCACAACTTTCTTACAAAGTTCGTAGCAGTTTTAGTGTCCATATTTGTAATCAGCGTCCAAGACTATCGATGTACCTAGGTCTCCTTTCAAAGTTCCATGGGAAGTTCAAAACATTCCCTGGTTAGTCATTGCGTGTATGAAAATCATAATAATAGAGAACGGTCTATCACAATGCCTTTGTGGAACTTGAAGCCTTTCAGTATGAACAATAATCGACAGCGGTGTCGTTCTCAACTCCAATAGTAAAACTACTGGAACAATTGCAAGAGACATCCCGCAGATTGCGATCTCCGGTAGAGTCCATCGACACTTTTTCGTTTTTGTTCATCCAGAGCGTGGATCACCCGAAGAGAACATCTTTTGGGAGGCCGCGATTACGACAGGTTCACTAAAGGATTAGAGGAGACGCGGTGGCGCTCAATGGCACGTCAGCAGCGGAAAAAGAGGAGGAACAGGTAACAGCTAAGAAAGCGAGAGCGTAAACGAGTTTACCGCTACGCGTTTAGTGGCACCATGCCAAGTTGTGCCGCTGGCAACGCAGCTCGTCCAAATCACCAAGTAAACTAGTGGGCGGATCGCTTTTGGGGCGGAGTGCTTTCGAAGTCCTGCTCAGCAACCAGCGCACCTTTCGTCGTGAAAGCGCCACACCTCGCTTCCCTGGCAGCCAAGTAACTGATTCGTGTGGTGCATATGCTTCCCGATGCGCTCCCTCTATCGTAATTGTTTCCTTTAAGAACTGCTTCTGCTGCTGGGGTATTTGTACGACAAACCAGTAATCTCTTATCTCTACTACGACGACTGAGATCAGGCCTTCTGCTCATGGCTGTCGAATGTACATCAGGAAAATGCAAATGAATCGTTCTCCCTTCACTCCCAATACTGAATTAATCGCACTAAACAAAACTCCCACGGTATGCTCTGAGCTGAAAATTGGAAGTATTAGAACCCGAACTTCAAAATGCTAATCCCTATCTCACCATCCCCACCCACCATGGCCGCATTCAATTCATGGATCAGATGACAAACTTCAACACGAAAATTTTCCTGTTTCGACTCCAAGACTGCCATTGAGAAAGGCATAGGTGATGGAGTGGGTCTCACGCACGCAATATGATTGCATCGCCAATGAAAAAAAACAAGGGAAAATCTGAAGCCCAAGAAGCTGTAAATGTGTCTCCTCCTGGCTGGATGACGGGCTTGCTAGACGGTGAAGAGTCGGTATGGAAGATGCTCGCATGCGTCAGTTACAAAACAGAAGAGAGAGAGGATGAGCGTGACGGATAGCGAGATGGTAGCTATCGCTGCGCATTTAGTGGCAGGAGGAGCGACGTAATGCAGCGGTCATAGTATTTCCGTACTTTCAAGGCACGGAACGGGTGCTTTTCTGCTCTTATGAGTAGCCTTACCCTACCCACGGAAGAAAGCGTTCCACCTGGATTCACCATAATGTGTTGTTGGTGGTGAAAATATGGGCGGAGCAAATCAAATCAAATCATACTCATTTATTCATTATGTACAATCAATTACAACTAAGTTCCAATTAGATGGTCGGCAAATAGCTTCGATTGTTGTTGTTCGCTTGAAGAGATTGTTGTTTCAGCGAATTCATATTGCCGTTCAGGTAGGGCAGGTAGTTAGTTGTTCCTTGCTGAAAAATTCGACTATTCCGGAAGAATGACAAAGGGAAAGCAAAGCATGAGTAGGAACAAGGTCACTGTTCTTATGTTGGGTTAGATTTCGTGCTAATCCTACTTCAAAATTTGTTCCAAAACTACTGCCTCATAGAAAGAGGAAGTCGCAAAATGACATGAAATCAAGCCAGTGAATCCCCAAAATCACAGAAGCCCATTAATCGAGATATCTGCCATCTCAACTGCTCACCTTTTTGATAACAGTTGGTGTCCCGACTTCTTCAGGTTTCAGCCGTAATTGCCACCCATTGAAGTATCCATGTTGAAGCAGTTCAGCAGCACTCCATCTTCGATCAGGACTCATTTCAAAGCACTTCTAGAAAGATGGATCGTAGAGAGTACGTCGGCAGGTGATCAATGTTTAGGAGCTTACATAAAGAAAATCAAGTTGGACGCTTGTGGCATTGGGTAACCGTAATGGTAGCGGCTCCTGTTGATCAGGTTCCGGTATGGACAGCCCGAAGAAGAACTGATTGGATCGAAAAACTGACATATGCCGCGGCAATAATTCACCTGTAAAATGCTTGTAATATTGGGTTATTTGGAAAGTTTCCGTCAATTTTGAGCCTGAAATCCAGAAGTGCATATCTCGGTTCAAACAACATTTTTTGATCGAAATGAAAGTTTGCAATGCCCATAACGTTGTCCAACGAGAAAGGAATTCAATAAATCGCGGATTCTGCTCGTTTCGCCATTGTGTTGGATTTCGTCTCAATCTCTTCAAGGGCAGCTGTTACGATAATTTGTAGGAGGGTTCAGTGAGACGAGGTAGTGCTCACAGGTACGCCAGTGGCGAAAAAAAGCAGAGAAATCCGTCAAGCAAAACGCAAAACAGGACCTCCTTTTTGCCGTTAGCTTTCACTCATGAACAGGTAACAGCTCAGAAAAGCGGACGTATGAACGGAGTTCATCGCAAGGCGTTTGGTGACTAGCATGCCAATTCACGCTCCAATCGGAGCTGCTCCAGTTGTGCCGCTGCTGGCAACGCAGCTCGTCCAAATCACCAACTAAACTAGTGGGCGGATCGCTTTTGGGGCGGAGTGCTTTCGAAGTCCTGCTCAGCAACCAGCGCACCTTTCGTCGTGGAAGCGCCACACCTCGCTTCCTTGGCAGCCAAGTAACTGCTTCGTGTGGTGCACATGCTTTCCCGATGCGCTTCCTCTTTATCGTAATCGCTGCCTTTTAAAGAGACCATCCAGATGGTTGGAAAAACAACAGTTGGTGGGCAATAGGTCTGCTTTGTGAAACAGTGGCAGCAAAGTTTCGTAGCTCAGCTAGTTCAACTTGTGCACGGTTGGAAGTGCGAGATGGGGCTGTGCAGCAGTTGGTACAAGAATTCGCTGGCAGCCACTTGCCGCCTTCTCTTTGACTTTCTCCTTCACCGGTGCAATTGGGAACCACTTGTCGGTTACGGGCTACCCCATTCCTCAAGCAATCTTCTCCGTAGTTCCAGTAAATTTGGTCCAGTCGAAACACCGTAAGTTAATGTTTGTCAGTCTCCGATAACCAATCACCACCGTGATCTCCTTTGAAGCTTATATCACCATTCGAATCACTGCGCTCAGCTGGTATCGCCACTTGTTTCATTTTTATTGCCAAACTTTAGGGGGAACAAGAAACTCGTACAAAATAGCTTGTTGAGAATTATGTATTGAAGACTTTGAAAAGAAGGGTAAAGGGAAGTGTAGAAAAAAACTGCTCATTTGAATAGGTAAAGAAGCGTGCTCTCTAATGATCTTCAAAATGTTAGCGGTTTTGTAAAACTAGTCCAGAAGTGAAGAACTTGAAATTAAGCTATTAAAATCGACGAAAACTTTCCGAAACAACCCAACAGATGGAAAAATGTTCAAATTAGCTCCGAAAGTTCCGGAATAGTTATCGAAAGGCTTTTTTATAGCCTCCTTACCGAATTTCACATGTTCGTCATCCAGCAAATCTAGTTTTCTGACTGGCTTATTATCTAACTGAACAATTGTGATAACTTCACTCTGGAGTTTCCCTCCAA